ACTGTTTTAGGTAGGTCTCTTGCCCCTGCCTTTCCACGCCCTCCCCCCACCCCCTTATTCCCTCACCTTGGCTGGCATACAAAATATTCCCAATCTCAATAAATCAGCTGTCGCCTGTAGCCAAATCTCTTGCACTAGATCAATATATGCTCAGATTGCTTAAGAGAGATACCCCAACTGCCTTTTTCTTGAGGATTGCTGAGAAGGCTTTCGATGGGATGAAACTGGGGGTGGGGAGTAGGATGGAAGCTTTTACATCTAAATGGTGTGCAAGAATTAATCCACTCAGCTCCCCTCCAAAGAAACCGGAAGCACATGGCAAATCTCTGTTCACTCAGGTGTTGTGGGTTAGCGCCTAGCATTCTAGGTGCCTTGACAACTGATGGAATATAGTTTTTATAGCTGAAGCCAAAAGGCTGTTACTACCAATGATTTGATTTCAGAATTGCTTTTTCCCTTGGCAGGGACTCTGAAGAGGATACTTGATATTCATTATGTGCGCTGTAATGCAGAGCTCTCCCTGAAGTGAATATCTCCATAAGCGGGTGCTAATGTGGCATTGTGTTTGGAGGTTTCAATTAGAGTGACCATACATCCCGTTTTGGCTGGGACAATCCCTTTTTTCAGCCCTGTCTGGGTCGTCCTGACTTTTTTGGCAAAAGTGGGGTGTGCAGGAATGTGCAGGGGTGGGAGGGAGGTGAGCAGCGATGCCAGCCCTGCACAGAGGGAGAGGCAGGGCTTGAGCGAGCAGCAACGCCAGCCCCAGACTTGTGCGAGGGGCAGACTGGGCTTGGGTGAGCAATGACACTAGACCCACCCGAGTAGGTGGGGGCAGGGCTCAGGCAAGTGTCTCAGGCCAGCCCTGTGCAGGGAGGGGGGCTTGGGTGAGCAGTTCAGGCATAGGTGTTGGAACTGCGGACACTGGGTGCTGCCGCACCCCCTGGCTTGAAGTGGTTTCCATTATATACAGCATTTACTGTTTGGTTCAGTGGCTCTCAGCACCCCTGGACTTGGGACAGCCCCACACCAAGTGTGTGGGGGGAAGGGTTTGGGCTAGCTCCATGTGATGTCCCATTTTCCCTTTGGGAACTATGGTCACCCTAGTTTCAATGGATGCTTAACAATACATGTGGCAACCATCCCATTAATGGCTTTCTCTATGTGTACAGGAGGCCACTGCACAGCAGGATGCAATATACAAAATATATATTGATAACTTAACGCTAACATAAGGCTTTGTTGTCCCTAGCTGGTCACCTATGCCCAGGATTAAAGCAGCTTCTGTTCACATGGGACCTGATCCACAGACCAATTACAAAGACTCCTATTGATATCATTAGCCTTTGGATCAGCACCATGGATCCCACTGTGCTTTAGCTGTGTTGGAGCATAGAAACTGATGATCCTCATGAAGTAATCTAGAATGTATACTTACCGTGATCTGTGTGTAGGTTATGCTGGCTGCTGGGATTTATGTATCCCGAGCTGGCTAATCCTGGTAACAGCTGGGGTTTATCCGGTAAGGAGCTGAGTACCGTAGCCCCATCCAGCAAAACACTTAAGTGCTGAAAGTTAAGCATGTGAACAGTCTCATTAATGTAAATGGGACTACTCATGGGCTTAACTTTAAGCAGATTCTTAAGTGTTTCTCTGGAATTGTGGAACTTTATAACTATTTAAAGAATGATTTTGATATCTTTTCCCCCTTTATTGAAAACCAGTTTTCAGTAGGAAAACACAGACTGAAAAGTATTTCAAAATCCTTTTGATTAAAAAATTAGACAAAAATGGGTCCAGCTGAATGCTGAGAAATGGAAACAACTTCAAAATATTTCGCCCCCCCCCCCCATTTTCCCATTATTCAGCCAGCTCTAAAATGCATTCAGGCTCCCCAAACTACCCTGACATCCCAGCTTTGCACCTACATGGATAGGGTGCAGTCACACTGATATGTTCCTTCATCTTCTACAGAATGCCTATGTGATAGCACTACAGTCTCAGAAGCATCTGCCTGCCTTCTCTCCCAAGTTACAGACCAATGCCATTGCTGTGGCTTGTGAAAGTGTTTGAGTGGAAGCCATAAGAGACCTTTTCTCTTTGAACTGACCAACTTTACACTGTCGGCATTGCTTAGCAGAAGTGAGGGCTCCTGTGGTTTATGCCGAAGCGAAAGTAGACTAAGCAGGATAAAACTCGTGCAAGGGTAAGTAATTGCTACTTACTAGACAATATTACTCCAGATGTAGCTGTCAGTTATTGTACAAACACTTGATAATCTTGGTTAATGCTTAAAACTTTCTAATCTAGAACTGTACAACCAATTATTTACCAGATTAAAAACAACATTTTGAAGGAGAACAAGTTAACTGTGTACCCCCATGTTCATCAAAACATGCTTTACCAATGACTAATAAGTGTACAGAAATGTTTCAAGATTAGCAAAGATTCTGGTTTACCATATATGCTTTTGTCCTTAGAAGGCAGATAAATACAATGAAATTTACTATTTCAAACACTTTTAGCATTTTATCAAATGAAATATAAAGAGTGGTGGCTACGTTTAAGTATGTCAGATTAACAGATCCATGCAATCACACTCCATCACCCAATGCACAGCACAAAGACAAGGCATCTGATACTTTCTACACATACCCATTATAGTACAGTAAATCAAAGTTGATTAACAATATTACCAAAGAGCCTTTTGCACAAAATCCCTTTGTATCCCCACAACACAATGGCAGGCTGTTGGATTCTCCCCTGATTTTATAAAACTGCAGCAGTCTTGCCAACTCTTTTGATTTTACAGCTAGGCTCATGACGTGATATTTTACTTAAAGCCTCAGCTCCCTGAGTCAGGTTATTACAGGAGACTCAACTTCTATTGAAAAAATAAAATATCTTGCCCTCATGTTTGGTAATTAAAGCATGAAAATGTGACCCCCAAGTGTAACCTAAAAGGCTCCAAAACTAGAAGGCACATTTAAAAAAAACCAACAACTTTGTGACAGGGCCACTCACCTCACATGAGTGCACCTGTTGGCCAGGTGTGTCTGCACCTGCACCCTCTCTGCATTGTGCTGCTTGCAGTGACCCCTGCTGGCAGTTAAACTTAGGAGAATTTCAGTGACTCAGCCCTCCAGCTGAGTCACACACAGTCCATGTTCACAAACAAAACAAACCCCTTCCGGGGTGCAAGTCCAACAGGAGCCTCTCACAGTACCCTCAGTTGGTCTCTTCCTGCAGCCCTCCCTGGGCTCAGTCCTTTAGCAGTCCAACAGAGCCTCTCACAGTATCCTGGCTTAAACGGTCTCTCAAATTGTCCCTGCTATGATATGGAGCAGTGCCCCCAGGGCTTCCTCCCTGGGAGCTTTTCACCTGTTGCCCCAGCTCTCCAGCTGGGCACTCTTTATAGTTGATACCACTTCCAGAGTGGTATGAAAAGTCCCACAAATGTTGACCCTGTCTCTGGGACTTCAGCCCTGTGGCTATGGGCCATTTCCCTAGTTGCAGGGGGGGGGAGGGGAGGTGACCCAGGCCCATCCACTACTCTGGGTCCAGACCCAGAGAACCTATAAGTAGCAGCCACCTGCTGCATCCCATTAGTACTTCCTGCATTTCCCTGGACCACTTTCCTGTGGCCCTAGTGCCTTCACCCTTATCTCAGGGCTGAAGTTTTTCTTGCTCACCTTCCTTGCTCCAGCCAGCAACTGCACCCTCCAGGAGCTCCTTTTATATGTGGCTGCTGGGCTCTGATTGGCTGCTCCCTGCATCCTCTCTCTGATTGGCTGCTTCTACCTCAGCCTCTCTAGGCATCCTGGAGGACTCACTGTGGCATTATCCAGGGTACAATCTGGATTGCTGAACAGCAGTGTCCCCTCAATTCTCCAACCTGGGGGGCCTTTTACACTGCTTTGCTATGACAGCAACCACTTCTGGTCTGCTCACACACAGCCTCCAGCATGTAAATCACTCCCAGCTATATGGTATGAGTGTTATGGTCAACCATTCTTGAATTACATTGCAGGGCAAAACCAGCAAGCTCCCAGTTCCAGACTTTCTCTCAGAAATGTGCATCTTGTACTGCCCAGTCCTCTCCTGGACAATAAAAGCTCATTTAAGTCCATCATTATATTAATAAAAAATAATATGCACAAATCCTGTTATCTCAAATGGAGTTTCCCAAACACTTCAGTCCAAGCACACTGTTTAGATAAAACAATAAAACAAGTTTATTAAATGCAGAAAGATAGATTTTAAGTGACTACAAGTATTGAAGCATAAAAGTCATAATTTTTGGTTACAAGTAAATAAAAAGTAAAACACTAACTTAACAAGCTAAGTGAATTCAAAGCAAACATCTCTCTCATCACATATTCTAGCAGTCCTATGGGCTGAATCTTTCAGTCACAATCCCTCCCCTAGTCCAATGCTGTTTCCTTTGTTCTTCTACTGTTGTCAATGTTGTGAGTAAAGGTGGAGGGAGAGAGAACTTGGGAGGTCTGTCCCCTATTCTGATATTTTTTCTTCATCTCCAGTTGGGGTTCAGGAGACAGAAAGCTTGTGGGGATGGGAACCTCCAGCTGTTTCTTCATCAAGATGTAAATTTCTCGCTCACACCTTTCTTCCTGCCAAAGAATGGCCAGGTGATGGTCCATTTGATTTTGTTGGTTGATATAACCATTAAAACATATTGATTTATAACTAAGTAGAATCTTTACACTACATTTGGTACATATTTTTGCTACCTAGGAAAGTGTGCTATAACTACATACATTTATACAAGTAATTATATAGCTTAATATTTTTAGATTCTTATTAATTAATTGTACATTTTTAGAATATTAGAAAACATTGAATGATATATTGCTTATTTTCTAGATAATTAACTTTTTGCTTATGATTTGTGTCAAGCTGCATTAGGATAGTCACTGGAATTTAATTAAACACACACAAACAGCATATAAAATTCATTTTCATTAAACAAAACAAACCCTCAATAAAGTACATGACTTATTGTGCCATATTTATTATGCTTGACCTCAAAAGTTAAATGTTTTTCCCCTGGTTCTTTCTTTATATAGAAAAGCGGCCTTTAACTCAAAGCTTTAGATTGAAGCTCATGGATTCAGCTTATTTATTTTTTATTTAACTGTTTTAAGAGATTATAATAAATTTAGGCCTTAACATATTTCGTATGTATTGTATTAAATTCAGATTTAATTCTAAACCGATTTATTTTTAAAGGGAAAAGCTTATTATAATTTAAATGACAAAATAAAAACATCCCATTTAAATAAAAAAACCTTGATTTTTTTTTTTAAATTGTCCACCTGTTTTAAGGTGATATGCAGTTGCTTTGGGACTCCAATTTCTTCCATTGTCCTCTCCCATCACCAGGTGTCTCCACTGATGAAAACCAGTACCTTCATACAGGATCAGGCCTTAGATGAATTCATTAAATGTCTGATTTACATTGCTAGCCAGTTGTTTCCTGACTAGCAGGTGCCAAAACATAATGATAGTAAAGAGGGGCTGTTCTCCCACATGCAAATGGGAATTCATAGAAGAGAATTGAAAAGTTTGGCAAAAAAGAGGGTAAAATGTACAAATACCTGGAGGCAGCTGCAGCTGATTCTGTGGATGTTGTAGATGGCTATTTAATTGTATGTTGCTCAATGCAAAAGGAGTACAAGTTACATGAATAGCCACAGGTTCATTTAAAAAAATACCAAAGAGTTTTAAAGAATGTTTTTCCTTCCCCCCCCCCCCTCCTGGCAGGTTGCAAAAATAGCCTCCAATAATGAAATGAAAACAAGCTGAGTGGTTACATTTCATGGAGGAGGGAAGATAAAGTTGCAGCCAGCTGGAGCATGTCTGGGCCAGTGTCTCAGTTCTTTTCTTTCTGCTAGTTTAGTGCTGCTCCAAGAATGCAGACAATGCTGGCTGTCACTGTTTCAGATTTGATTTCCACACTCGCATCTTTACTTATTAAATGAAACCCCATCGTCAGGCTGGCACATTTCCCCACTGCTCTTTTAGGTGTTACTTTTGAATTGCTCCTATGTACCTGGATGCCACGCTCACATGCTAGAAATGATCTAGTGCAGTACGGAATAAGGTACAAATATGAACGGAGAGTATTGCATTGTCTTAATCAAACTTGTTGTTTCTTTTGCAGTGTCATCCAAGCTGTTTCTTTTGCAGTTTCATCCACGGCTCAGGCTCTCATAAATCTTTGTTGAGGGTGGACTCAGCAATGCGGCAGGGAAGGATGGGTTTTAGAAGAGTCTCAAGACTGGTGGATCAATTAGGTAGTCACTTGGAGGCTGGTCTACAGACAGGGTACTGACTGTACTGCTTGTAGGAGAAAACTCTTAGATAATCAGGGTTTGATTGTGCAAAGTGCTGCGCACCCAAGCCCTGGCCCAGCAAAGCACCTAAATCTGTGAGTAGTCCTATTGTCTTCAATGGGACCATTCATGTGCTTAACTCAAAGCATGTGCTTACCTGAGTGCTGGATCAGGGCCAGATTGTTCAGGACTAAGCTCTCAATGAAGAATAGGAAGTGGTTAACAGTGGTCAACAGAATAGGAAGTGGTCAACAGAATGCAGGAAAATCCGTCTGGGGAAATATATATTGGAGAAGAAGTAGTAACCATAAAAATAACAAAAGGTCAGTTCATGTCCTCTGAAAAATACCATGGAAGGCAGGGAAATTATGAACAATGTCAATAAAGCTCATGGGAAATACAAATACAAGAGATGTCCAGTGCTGTGGATTGCAAGCTCTTTGGTCTTTCGAACCTCACTTTAAACTAGGCTCATGGCTTGCAACCTTTTCATTAGGCTTGTAGCCCTTTAATGGCCACTGATGTGACATGATTCATTATTCAATAAGTGCCAACAGTACCAAATAAGAAGGCGAGGTCCCTGCTGTGACAGGTTCCTCCCAGCCTGGGCTCCCTTTCACACTGTACTGCTGTGACAAGCTGCAAAGCCCTACAGCCTACACTTTCACCTGCATTCACACAGGTAGGGACACACCCAGCTGCAGTTACACGCAGGCTCTCTAACCATCAGCTTCCCAGCCTAGGACCCCAGAGCAGTACCATACTGCCCTAGTAAAATCTGGCCAGTATATGGGTTTAATACTCAGTCCACCTCTCCCTCAATGTGAAGAGGACAATGCACACTTGCGATAACCAATCAGAGATTTTCCCCAAGCACTCCAGTCAAAGCTCACTGGTTTAGATTGAAACAAAAAAAGTTTATTAACTACCAAAGATAGATTTTAAGTGATAGCAAACAGATCAAAGTAGATTACCTAGCAAATAAACAAAAAACACAAACTAAGCTTAATATACTAGATAGATTGGATATGAATAGCAGATTCTCACCCTAACTGATGGTACAGGTGGACTTGTAGATTCTTAAGGCACAAGCTACACTTGTTTTACAGCTTGGGATCCCCAGGTCTTTCGTGCACAGACTAGAAATCCCTTTACCCTGGGTCCAGCACTTCCCCCAGTTCAGTCTTTGTTCCTCAGGTGTTTCCAGGAGTCTTCTTGTGTGGGGAATGAAGAACCCCAAATGATGTCACTCCCCTGCCTTATATAGCTTTAGCATATGGTGGGAACCCTTTGTTTCAAAGCTTGGTTCCCAGACCAGTTTGTGGAAAAATACTGACATCCTAAGATGGAGTCCAGAATCATGTGGTCACATGTCCTCGTAGAGTCATAGCAGCCATTACTTACAGGAGGTTCTGAGGAAGGCTTACCACTGGGATAAGCTTCTCCTAAGGCCTATTGTTTTTCCTAATGCCCTTTATCGTGAATAAGCCCTTTCCCACCCCTATTTAGACTGAAGGCATCTTGTCTAGTGGGCATTACCTAGATGTAACTACATTTGAAATACAGATACATAGTAAGTATTTATAACTTCAGATACAAAAATGAAACATGCATACAAATAGGATAATCATATTCTGCAAATCATAACCTTTTCAATGATACCTCACGTGATTTATCTTGCATAAAATACACCATAATTATGCTATAATCATATAATAATAATATCACTATGAAGAATATGGGGTGCAGTGTCACACCTGCCTCAAGTAGTTTACAAGGTACTTTAGACAAAGATGAGAGAGGTCTGTTGCCAATGAATCATGGTGTGCTGGAGTCATATTGGAAGTGGTGTAAGCAGTGATCATTTTTGATTACCCCGGATTTTCAAATGTCCAAAAGGGACCCAATCCTGCACCCACTGAAATCAACAGGAATTTTGCCATTATTTCATTGGATGAGGGATTGGCGCCAAGTGACAGTTACAGGAAAAAACAACAATCGAGGAGGCTTGAAACAATGTGGGCTTCTTTTCATTACCATAAAGTTTGCTATACTTTCTAATGTCAATCATGTAACTGAACCAATGGTGAGATAATTCCAGATCTGAGTGGAACAGAGGTAAATCTGGGTTTGAAATAAGTGGTGTGCCTCATGGGGGAGACAGTTGACAGGTGTGGGGTAGGATTTTGGTATGGCTCCTGTGATAATTTAAGGGGGGGAGCCCCTGTTTATGAACACCCAGCTAGCTGTAAAATCCCTCTTGGTGTCTGTTCTCTGCTTGCTTTACCTGGAAAGGGTTAACAAGCCCACAGGTAAAAGAAAAGGAGTGGGCACCCTGACCAAAAGAGCCAATGGGAAGGGTAGAACTTTTTAAAATTGGGAAAGAAACTTTCCCTTTGTCTGTTGTTCTCCAGAGAATTAGACATGGAGCAGGAATGCTGTGTAAGGCATGAACCAGATATGAAAATTCATCTTCCATACCTAGAAGAAATTATTTGGTTAGGGAATTTTTAGTTAGACACAATCAGGTTTATTTTTTATTTTGGCTTATGGATCTCCTCTGTGCTAACCCCAGATGCTTTTGTTTGCTTGTAACCTTTAAGCTGAACCCCCAAGAAAGCTATTTTGGGTGCATGATTTTTGGAATTGCTCTTTTAAAATCTAGCAAAAGCCTAAGTTCCAGATGTATTTTCTTTCTTTTTGTTTTTAATAAAATTCAGTTTTTTTAAAAACAGGATTGGATTTTTGGTGTCCTAAGAGGTTTGTGCATATGCTGTTTGATTAGCTGGGGGCAACAGTTAATTTTCTTTGTTTTTTTTTCTCAGCTCTTCCCTGGAGGGGTGGGGGGGTGAAAGGTCTCGAGGGTACCCCACTGCATGGATTCCCAAGTGCTCCTTCCTGGGTCCAAGGGTTGGGGTTTTTTTGCATTTGGGTGGTGGCAGCGTTTACCAAGCCAAGGTCAGAGAAAAGTGTAATCTTGGGAGTTTAATATAAGCCTGGAGTGGCAAGTATTAATTTTTAGAATCTTTGTGGGCCCCCACTTTCTGCACTCAGACTGACAGAGTGGGGATTGAGCCTTGACAGCTCCTAACTGCCAAGAAGTTTGGCCCTTGACTCCTAGTGCTGCCTGTACGTTAGCCTTGAGTCTTCCCATGCTTTTTCAGAGACAGTACCTGATAAATCTGCGCACAGAGTAGGGATCACACACCTTTAATGATGATGATTTTTGACACCTTGCCTTGCTGTTCAGGTAACATGTCTGTGCCTGCATAGCTTTTAACCATACCCCACACTGTAGCCAGTCAGAATTTCACAGTCATAAAGGAGGAGCGAATTCAAGAGCTTCTGCTCCAAGGGTTTGACTCCCATTGAAGTCAAAGAAAAAGCTCCACTTGATTTCAGGGGGTGTTGGATCAGGTCCTAATATCACAGGCCCTTGTTGCATATGCTAAAGGAATATCCTGTTTAGCTGAAATAGTATGAGGGCACAAAGGATACACAGGGCCACATATTTATCTCATTTGAATGGGTATAAATCTGGAATAGTTCTGTTTTCTTCAGTTGAGTTATTGAAGTGTAAATCTGGTGTGAGTGAGTTCAGGATCTGGCCTACCCTTGAGCAGGTTTGACATTCCACTAAGTAAAGGGAAGTTGGTAGTCACAGCTACTGTGTTACCGGCAGTAATCCACCTTCCCCATAATGATTAATACTCACATTTAAATGTCCAAATTGGAGCAGTCTTGCAGTGAGCTTGATCACAATAGCCAAAGAAGCACAAAACATGACAAAACTTGAGCAAAGGTCTAGAATCTGTAGAATCAGATGGTACCACTCGTAGTGCAGTGGGTCCTTGCAAAGAGACATAAATTCCTCGTAGGGAAAAGGGAACAAAACTGCATAACCGAGATAGTTAGTCCCTGCAATCCCAGCAAATGAATAGTAGCAGTATGGACCAAGCAGGATGGAGACAATTGCAACAGCAAATTGAATTGGGGAGCCCATGATGCTCAATATGCCAAAGGTGAAGCTAGCTTCCCACTGAAATGGAGACAGAAACATACTATTACTCTTCTGACTAATGAGAGAGAAAAAAAATCTATTAAAAACCTTTAACTAAAGAGGGTGGGCGATTTCCTATTACTTCACTTCTTTTATATTCTAAACCCTAATGTAACCAGAATAAGAAACATATTGGAGGGGAAAATAAGCATAATAAATATCATATATGCCACTTGCTATAAAAAATTATGTGGAGTCTCTACAGGGAAGATGAATGCAGTGAAACCAAGTTTTGCTAAAAACACTAGAATAAATTAGAGCAGATGTATTTTATTTCTGCATTTGTCATGTATCACAGAAAGAAGTAAATTGCAGTGGGCGGCCTTAACTTCCAAACTTGAATACTAACAAAAATCCCCATTTTAAAGACAGGAAGTAAATCTGGAACTAGTAGAATCACCAAGCTGGTAGAACGTTTAAAGCTTATTCGCTTTAAGCCCTGTATAGTGTATTTGATCCACAGCTTTAGTAGCAAAATATGCGTTTTCTTCTTGAATATATCATCTGGATTAACTCTGCAGTTCCCCTGACTTCTCTGCTGTATTTGACATCATATTGAATAATGACATAAGCTTACAAGTGATCTTTGTGTTTGTCCTCTGTCAGCCAAAAGGATAAGTACACCAGCAATAACAGCCTGTGGATGGGAGAAACAGACAGTTACACCCCTAATACTTCATAATGCTAGTAGTAATTTAAATTCTGAAATGCTTTGCAAACGTTTAAATTGTTATCACAACCTGATGGGCCAATTTCTGCCTTCATTAATATGCATTAAACCTGCATCACACCCAGTAGGGTGGCAAAGGTGTAACTGAAGGTAGCAATAGACTGAGGTTGACTGTATGTGGTGGTGATGATTTGGAAACTCTGTCTGTACAACCGATGAATTCTGGTTGATATTATGAAGTTGTTACTGTGAAAATTACTGTATCATTGAATACCTCTATGTACATGTGGAATCCACCATAGACTGATGGATTTTAGCACATACCCATAAGATTGCGGACAATAGAGAGTTGTTAACCTTAATGACTATAGTCTGACTGCACAAAGGGTATGCTAACGAGGTTGACTGAAGCTAGGAGAACCAGTATACTCTAATTCATCAATAGGAAGTTGATGAGGAAGATGTGTGGTTACTATGCTGAATTCCCAACAGGTATAAGATAAGGAGGCATGACTCCTTTTATGCTAAATATATCAGAAATGAATTTGTCTCACTGTGCTTAACTTTTTGCCAGCCCATGAATCTTGGATCTGCCTATATCTTTGCTCCTAATAATATATTGTTGGTGAATGGAACCACCAAAGGAAAATGTGTCGGAAAGAAGAATCTGAAGGCCAGAAGATCAGAAAACAGCATAATTTGGGCTCTCATTGCTCACATAGAGGCAAATGTATTAACAAGTTTGAAAACCCCGAACCTTGAGCAATATGGTCTTGTGGTTTGTTTCCCATTTCTAGCATGATAAATGTTTTAAGACCTAGATTTTCATTTTCCGTGGCACTTTGTATTTAAAATTTTTGATTCAGGGAATCTGAAAATACTTCTCCTGAGGCCGAGCCTGAAATTATAATCTTGGCATAACCATAACATAAAGTTCTCATGGATGAAAGCAGAAACATCTGGAGTCATGAGTGGTTGTTGGCTAAATTAATCAGAAGAAAAGCCACAGGCAGGGGATCCTACAGGGTTCTAGCCAGAATAAATTAGGCTACAAAATAAGGGTACTATTAAGAGTAATTGTAATACTGAGGCTGCACTATAAGATGAAGGCCAAACTCTTTCACAATCTTCTTTGCCAACTGAGAGGGGTTCAATTTACACTTAACGCACATGTGGTTGGTGGAACAAAGTAAAAATTGAAGATGGATAAAAGCAGGGGAGGGATTATACATCATGCTGGTTTAGCTCCAGGCAGATAATTTAAATTAGTAGATGATCAGTTTCCAGTTTGTTTTAAATACTCTGGCAAGAAATGTTACTTTCTATCCCAACGTTTAAAATGCCATAACATTGCAGTTTTGTAAGCACTGCCATTTGTTTTTTCTTAATTCTTAATCTGATCCAATGTAGCCAATGGGATTCTTTCCATTGACTCAGGGTTTGTTTTTAAAGGCATTGCTCAGCACTGTACAGCCAAACTCCCTAAACAGGCTGCCGCCTAGCAGAATTTTTAGAACTAAAGTAGTTGGCACTTAGCCACCTATCTCCCCATTCACTGCCTGGGGTCATGTACATACCTAAATATGGAGGCTGCAGAATCCTGGGATCTGAGTACTGCCCTGCCTAGCAGGACTTTTAACACAAGCAAGGCAACCAGGAGTGAGGGATAGCTCAGTGGTTTGAACATTGGCCTGCTAAACCCAGGGTTGTGAGTTCAATCCTTGAGGGGGCCATTTAGGGATCTGGGGCAAAAATCTGTCTGGGGGTTGGTCCTGCTTTAAGCAGGGGGTTGGACTAGATGACCTCCTGAGGTCCCTTCCAACCCTGATATTCTATGAACCTTTAAGTGATAGAAGACTGGTCAGCTTCATGTGCATCAATGTCTGCCTGAAACAATTGCACTACAGTCTTACACCATGTTCACCTGTTGCAGCTCCTACATCTACAAGGCTATTTCCATTATCTAGTTCAGTGCTGGAGAAGGAAAAAGAGTCATATTCCTCTCTCTCTCTGGAATCCCCCCTCAGCACTGTCAGTGCCTGAGGCCAATGAACATGATGCACTCTGCCTCCTGCTCCTGGACTCCAGACAGTCAATGGATAAAGAGAAGGGTGAGTCAGATTTCCTACCGATCTGTGTTTGTGCTCATTCTGCGGTTCTTCCCACATACACGTGCACTGAGCACCAAATGCATGAGCCTGCTTTGACCCATCATCCAGACAATTTTCTATGGGCTGTCCATCAGTGAAACATCCTTTTACCACCATCAGCTCAAATTCCCTTCCCCATCCCCTGTTCCACATGCACCCAGTCTGGCCTGATCCTCCCCTACCAAGTGTCCGTAACCCACCAAAATGGTACATTTCCATGACTTTTCCCAGCCCCCATGTACCTCTTTTGTCAGACCCTCCCACAGCACCCAATCTCTTTCATGTTACCATCCCTTACCTATCATTCAGGCACCTCTGTGTGTCTACTGCATTCCCCTTACGCAATCATCTTTGTGCATCAAACCACCTCCCAGCAGCCCCGGTCTCTCACCTTCATCCCCTGCAAGCAGCCTTTCCTAGTCCATTTAACCAATCTGCCTATTACAGTTCTGTTTCCACTCGGTCATGACTTGGCCATAAGTGCAAGGCTAAAGTAGAGATGGGTGACCCCAGTCTCAGCACATCCTACCAAATTGGCCCCTCACCATGGTGGAGCGCCTGGGATGTCCTGTAACAACTGCCACCAGGCTTAGAACCGCTGCCTGGAAAATCTAAAAATGGTGGTTTGCACAGAAATACCCCCTAATACACCATATCCCAGTCGTTGTGGGGCTCAGGATGGGGCTCTCAAGCCTTCTAGGCTCTCTCTACAGCACAGCTGGGAGAATGGAAGTCCTGGAACGGGCTTCTCGTGTCTGTGGCTCAGAGGCTGCCCCACCACGTGGGCTTCTCTGGGCCAGGGGCCCTAGGGCATCCAACCCCCTGGGCCAGCTGATTGCCTGACTCCCGCAGCCTGGTGAGTGAACTGCCCCAAGAGTCAGGCAGACTGGGGAGCTAGCTGGCCCAGGAGTTTGGAAGCCCTAGGGCAGACCCTGTGGTGGGGCTGACCAGAAGCCACAGACTTTGGAAGTTCTGGCAGCAGCTTGCGAAGTTGACGTGATTCTTGTCAGTTTCACTGCTGCTCTTTTAGCAAGTATAAGGGCCCATGGAGTGTATTTCATTGCCTGTGCTGGTGTTTCCAAACCAAACCTTTGTTGGAATTTCTGGTTCACATGAAATAAATAAATAAATACATGAGTTTCATTCACACTTGGAACAAAACCAAATTTCAAAAAGTTGAAAATTTCTGCAAACCAGAAATTCTGAGTTTTAGCCAGCTCTACTTAGCACCCACTGGCTGTCTGTCTTTGTACTTTAGGATGAATGGTGCTGGATCAATGGGCAGGGCCAAACATAAGCAATATGAAGAATTCTTTCTATTACCATGATATGCACCAAGACATGAACGGAGAACTCTCGCGAAGGATTCGGGCAGGAAGGTGTGCGTTTAATTCCATCAAGGACATCCTCAAAGGAAAAATCGACAAGACCACACGTACAAATATCTTCAATTCAACAGTGCTGCCAGCCATGCTATATGGCAGTGAAACGTGGGCACTGACGAAGAGAGAAGAACAGCGGCTGTTGGTAGCTGAAAGGCAGTGGAACGAGCTATGTTCGGAATTTCCCTTTTGGATCGTATCCCAAATGAAACGATTAGAGAACTCAGTGGTGTGAAAGATATTGTTGTGGAAAGCAGATATAATAAGATACAATGGGCGGGCCCAGTTCACGGACAATAGGTGGACCGCAATCATTACCCGCGCGAACAGAAAAGACCACCTGGTCGGCCTCCAAGAAGGTGGGAAGATGACATTGTAAAACGTTTCGGACGAACGTGGAGAAGAAAGGCGAGAATGCGAGAGGAATGGCGGACATGGTGTGATCGGCGCAGTCTTAACGACAGCTGAAGACCGATCGATCCAGGTGATCCAGGTGACCATGATATGGTATCTTGGCCATCACAGTGCAAACAAATCTGCTCATACATGTAACAACTTATTTGTTCACTAAATTACCAATGGCTTTACCAGGTTCAGGACTTGGAGCCAGAGTCTTCCATCCAGTTTTAAGCTGACCTCCCTCTTGAAGGCAATGAAAAGTTCTGCTTAAAAACTGATGAAACAGCATAGCTTTTCCTTAGTTCAAGGGGCTGTGGAATCAGAGCTGAGGCAAAGCTGGAAGTTTAAATTTAGTGGCGTGGATAAAATGGGATTTATGGCTGTACCAGCCTTATTTTCATTTTGCTAAATCAAACCCACTCCATGTTTGTCCACATCTCTCTGTGGAATGTATCAAGTGAAGGAAGACTTTAGCAGTAGAGGAAGTGGACACAACATCATCCCTAAACAAACGATGATGTTAGAAACACCCTAATCCTATCAACAGCAGTATTTTAAGTAAAGCGATATCCAAAACAGCAATTAAACACTGGTGGAAGAGATAGGATGAGGATCATAGAACATAATTCAATCAGTTCTGGCATATTATTTTAATGCCATTTATTATTTGGATCCTAACATCTGCAGGACATCAGTAATTCTCAAAAACATCAGCAATCCAAGGGGCTCAAAGTAAAGGATTTTTAATTGAGCATCTGTTGATGCCTCTTTTCTAATAAATGAAGGTAGAAACTGGTGGGTGGTTTCACGAGCCAGGGAACTGAAGGAAAACTCCAAGCCCCCATCCTTTTAAAGCCCTTTCCTCAGGGCTGGATTATCATCCAAACAATCACAAAACTGAAAGCAGATCAACTGAAAATCACTGGGCAATAATTCCCCAGAAGCTCCCCACACTGGCGGCACCAGCTAGTAGGAAAGAAGGAAGGACACCCTTTAATTCTCCTTTTGACCCAGCTTCCCCTTCCTTTTACACTCCACCCAAGCAGCAATGGGGCCAGCCTGGAACTTGTAACCCTTTACAAGCTGCAGTCTTTGTTACAAAATTCTGTCCTGTAACATACACCCCCCTGCAATGAGCTGACATCAGTGAGGATGCACTAGGTGTAAGTCAGAGAAGAATTTGAGTCTTAAACTATTATAGAGATTTCATGGGGCTGCATAATTTTTAACTCAAAAACTTGCTGCACTTGTATTCATCTTCAGGCATAGTTCGAAACCTAAAACATAAACAGGCTTCTGCTGAAACTAAAGGACATGAACCTAAGAGCAGCTAATCAGTGTGAGAGAGGAGCCAAATTCTACTATCACTTGCACGAGTATATCTCCAGTCATGTTATTTTACATTGACACTGGTGAAATCCTGATTTGGCCTAGAGTTGTAGAGTTTCGTTTTTGCTAGCAAAGAAAAATTGTGAGAGGCAAATATCCTGAAATAATCAATATGTTAATATTTACTGCAAAGTTAAATCTTATCAAGGAGTTGCAGGGAGCTCCTGTATTTAATTTAATGTTGAATACTCCAAGTACTTCTTTTTAAAGAGTTTATATTAATAGGAAACAAATTCAGATATGGTTGACTTTTCTTCGAATTTAAGTAACTTCTCTAATACCTTTTCCCTGCTAACATTTTTGTTGTGGCCTACCAAAGTTCCATTCCAGATGGGACAGGCGATTCGAATGCTCCAGCCAGCAAACCAAGGCTTATAAGAAAAAACAGGAAAGAAAGCAAAAATTCCAGAGAAAATGCTTATAATCCCAAAGGTAATAAGTGTCCCTCCGGTACCCTCATACAGGCTCTTTGTTTTCATTGTGAGTCTCTCTCTCTCTCGCCCTCTGCTTGATTCACATCAAGGATTAGTAACTAAAGCCTAGTCAAAGACGTTTCATTATAAACAGAAGTTTCTTAGAGACTGTAGTCATGACGCATGCAGATTGTGTACCTACCATGACAAAACATT